AGCTTTTACGATTTAAAACTGAATGATAAGAATTAATACATTTTTAAAAGAATTTGGCACACGTCTATTCTGTACGCTTGCTCGACGACGAATTTTCGAAAAAAACGAAACGAAAAAGTTTATAGTATAGAGGATTTTTTTTAGTGTTTAAGTGAAGGTTTAATATCTAATATATATATATATTTCTAATAATAATATATAATTGTAATATTTGTGTTGTAAATAAAATATATAAAAGATATACATATAAGGGAAGTTGGAACTTGAGTCATATGCAGATTTCTTGTATTTTAAGTTTAAAACGCCGTGATTTATATAGCTCTTGTATACTTTTGGATTATAAATATTGTAAGTTTGATATTTTAAAAGTCAGTATGTATCTGTAACATTTGTATTGATATTATGTACGTTTTTTATGTTTATTTAACATGTGGGTGTTCCTGTGAATGTTTGATAAAATGAAATAATTATTTCATGTATTTAATGAATAAATAAATAAATAAATAAATAAATAAATACTGTAACACTAGTTTTTAATAATAATTTAAATAATCTTTACCAGAAACGGTCGTTTAATACCTACATTTTTATATAATTTTTATCGTTGAATCACTTTACATAAGTACTGGCGTCTGGGTAAAAAATGCGAAACCGGTGATACTAGATTTACAAAAAGAAGATTCAATTTGTTAGGGGTCATATCGATTTAATTAGTTAAACCGGAATTTTAAAAACAAGACCAGATATCGAGACCCACTTTATTTTTTATATTATTAATTTTACGTGTCGTTTATTTTTTGTTTGCAATCTACATATTTATTGATAAGTTTCGCAATGTTATTGAGTAAAAAAATTCAAAGGAATTCATTCTGCTGCATTTAGTACTTAAACATTAAGAAATAATTGAAGGAAAATATTGCACTGTAACTAATAACTCAGATTTTAGTCTACTAGAAAACATATTTCTAGAGTAAAGTTTGTTTAATTAAATTAAGTAACGACTATTAACAAAATAAAGATTGTAAACTACAAATATTTATTTCCACGAGGCATTCGGCAAAATTGATGGTCACTCAATGCGGTCAAGGCAAATAGGCAGTGCTAAATATTTTGCAAATGAACGTTAGATATTTTTTTTACAATCAAGCTGCCAAAATTTTCTGCTCACGGTCAATAATGTTCCATTTTTAATAAATCGATTTTTTTTTCAGATCATATCGGAAAATAATTCGAACTATGTATTAAAATATTAATATTGTACATACGTAACACCATTCTCATAATATTG